CCTCAGAGCATGGTAAAGACACCCTGCATTCTTCGTCCCGGATGGCGGAAAATCGTCCACGAGAGAGGCTGATGAGTTTGTCTTGGAGATATAGCGACCAGAAAGTTCTTTTTCTTTCCTCACGCTCAGCTAGTGGAAGTGATGGGTCGGGTTCCAGGTGAAACTTATTATTCTGGGCAAGACGAATAGCAAAACCCTGCTTCATATGGGCCTGGCTACAGAGACCAGCTAGCCGATTCGATTTGTTAGTGACTTTTCCAAAGTATGAACAGTTTTATTCATGATCGTCTGACTCACCTGGAACCTCAGTGCTAACTATCAATATAATTGTTTGGATAACTGTCAAAATCTTTTCGGGTGGCGCATTACCAGTCCAAGGAAGTTCTATAGTCTCCCAAGCCTTGGCAGCGTAGCTAGATGCATCGTCGGAACAGTTGACTTGAGTGACTGGTAGAGATGAGTATCGTCTTGCGGCAGACAAGAATCCCCAGAGAAGATAGGTCGGCAGCGTGTCATCAGCCAGGCGTTGCCGAAAGGTTGGTTCATGAAAGAGGGAGTAAGGTTGGCTGTGACAGTAGCGGAAGTAGACATCGGCAGCAAAGAGAAGGGAGCTTGGTTGGGGACGTTCATTGGCATGAGATTGTATCGTTGACGGGGTTTGAAGAAGAACGGGGGCCGGGGTGTTGGCTTGGTAGTGTGTACGTTTGTTTGGCGGTTGCTGATTTGTGACCAGCGGCAGCAGTCTATGTCTTGATCAGAATGTAATCACCAATGTGTACAAGAGATTAATGACTCTGACCTTTCGACTGTCGCTTGTAGCGTTGATATTTGATCTTCTAAAGACGCAAACCTTGACGTGATGTTATCCTACCCAAGGTCAGCATCACCATCCCAACAACAGTGGGCCACATACCATGATAGCCTCAGGCACGTCCCCCAAAGCAGGTTGAACAGCCAGATTCGTCCTTCTAAGACTCCTCCCATCCTCCGCATAAACACAAGGCTGGCCAAGCCGATTGCAAAACTGGCATATTGGTTTCTCACCCGTGCAGCGAACCTTCTTCTTCCTGCAATTGAGGCAGGCTTGGCGAATTCTCTTACGACGGCTCTCAGGCCCGTCAGAGTCGTCGTGGGAGTCCGACATTATGACGAGTATTATGGGCTGGAGGGTTTGCTGATTCGACAAGGGAGATGCAGGATGGATTAAGGGACGGCTCGAGGTGCGGTTTGCGGGGATGCGGGCGGCGCGGCTATACACGGTTGTGTAATGCCGTGATGCGGTCCGATACCCGCCACCTCTTACAGATCTGCCAAACTTTGAGTTTCTTTATATTTGAGATATCGCAGTGAGTGTCATATATGTAACGAGCTACTATTTTAACGATTTAAAGCTTTTATACACTGTTCGTGGTCATCATGTCAGATATCCCAGCAGCAACAGAAGCTCAGCAATATACCCGACATACAAATGGCCGCCAAAAGCGCAGAGCTCGCAGAGCTTGCCTAACGTGCAGATCTCGAAAGGTCCGATGCGATGTTATGCAGAAGTCACCTTGCAGTAACTGTCAATGGAGCTCGTGCGAGTGTGTAGTGATAGGGCCGCGTCGGTCACCGTGAGTCAACTTCAAGAGTCTCCCAACGGTATCACTGACAAACATAGCTGCAAGAAGAACAAAGGAGACAATAAAGCTTCCAAGCAACCCAAAAAGGAAGAAGTCTCCGCTGAGGCCGCGCGCGATAATTCTAGCTATCCATACTCTCCAACGTCATCTGATATCGAGGTCAAGCACGAAGAGTCAAGAGGTAAGTCAAGTTTCCCATAAGCCGCTGTTCTCTGACATCATTGTAAGGCTCTTACTAACAGGCGAAATAAGACTTCGAGACATCATATCCTCCTATGGACTATATTCTTTCACCTTTGACGCCTATTTCGCAGCTTGAAGACGAGTACTGTTTCGGCTCGCAATATGCTAGCAGCCATGCAGATCAGACTTCCAGCAATTCCTGGAATCGCCCAACCGCCACTTCCCAGTCACCTCCCGCGTCTTCTGAAACGTCAAAAGAACAAGAGTCAGACCCCATCTTATATTTTGTGGGTGATGGGATAAGTGACGATCTCATAGGCAGTCTGTTGGCACTTCCATTTGACCATTTGAGACACATTTGACGGTCTTGGAGAAATCAGTAAACACGGACCGAAGCCCGAGATGAGACCGGGAGTAATGAATACGCCCAACAAAGCCGATCGAAAGGTTTTAACTATTTATGGTCGTCATGATGAATGGAATTGCTTGGACCCTGATCTCGTCCTGAAACATTCCGTCGATTGTCATAGTTACAGGTCAGACAGCGTCAGCCATGCTGAGGCCTAATCGCGGCTAATGACCCCGGGCCCACCAAGATTTCTACCCCAAATTTTGGCAATCATTCGGTGTCAATGGCGCACGGGGATCTACAAACAACGCAACTGGGGAATGCAGACAATGGGGGCCTCTGCCGAGTCTGTCTTCAATCGGCTGCGCATTGATAGATTAAGGCTCGGCGAAAGGCACGACACGTCAATACAAAAGCGCATCAATAACATTTGAGCGCGAATATGGTCAAGGGAGGCAGGCAATTACATAAAGGCTGCAGTAGCCACAACGCTTGTATTGAGTGTTTTTACAGTAAAACTAGAGACCAGTACACCAGGCCAAATGAATCGAAAAGCCAAGACGCCGTCACCCACGGGTATTGTCCGTTATTATTCCTCCCATAAGGCATGAAGCTTTTACAGCATCATGACACCAGCAAGACCGGCGACGGCGAGGACGCCAATAGCCTTGATGGAGTTGACGCCAGCAGCGTTACCCTTGTCGGCGGTGGAGCTAGAAGCAGCAGCGTCGCTAGACTGAGAAGCATCACCGCTGGAAGAGGAAGAGCCAGTCTCCTTGGCCCAAGTGACCTTGTCGCAAATGGTGGCGGTCTCCTTGAGTTCGGCGATGCGAGAGCTGACCTCAGGGACGTCGCTGCAGGCCTCGAGAAGAGAGGAGATGCCATCCTTCTGGTCGATGTACCAAGAGCTGAGCTTGGAGGCGTAGGAAGTGTACTCCTTGGCCATGGAGCCAGTGACGGCGGGGATGACACATTGATCGGTCATGGTCATGGCATCGGTCTGCTTGGCGAGGAAGCTTGCGAGCGAAGAGTCGGGAGTAGGGATGGCGGTTAGGTCGGGGAGGATGCTGGAGGCGACGGAAGCGCACTCCTTAGCATCGCGCTTCTCGAGGCGCTCGAGAGCAGGGTGCGAGGCAGCGACGACGGTCGCGCCGACAGTGAGGATGATGGCAGAGCGCATTGTGATTGGGTATTATTAAAAAAGGTGTTGGTGTTGGTTGTTGAAGCGGAGAAAGAATAACGAGTGGATGGCTATTAACGAGAGTTTACTCAAAACAGATGGGATGGAAGAACCAACAGAAGGATACCACAGGCTTTGTATTTAAGATTGTCTCAAGGCGAGGAGTCACGATTGTGGCGGTAATCATTAGGCTGGATTAAGGGGCTTCCTATTGTAGTTAATGTTTGGGCTATGTCTTATTTCCTGGCACCCCACCTCGTAAAAAGGCTGAATGCCCTCACGAAACACCAAACATTTAGTGCCACGATCGGTCTGACCTCCATCTCTTTAGTTAGCTCGTGTTCAGCCGCACGACTGGGTGCATCAGTGGCTCACTGTGCTCCGTAGAAAGACGGGAGGCTTTATGCCCAACTTGACAGTCTCTGCAACTTTCATCCAGATCAGACCAAGGACATGCAGACTTACTCCGTACCATAACGCATAACAAAGGATCATGGCAGTCACAACCCCCCTGCATGTTAAGTTTTCAGCTCATCAAACAACTGTACCTTGCGTGCGTTAGCCAGTTTCACCCATGGCCCTTACAGGCTTACAGCCCCTTTAGCGCGCGCCAGATCATCCGGCCATCTCCCAACTGAGAATGCTTCGCGAGTCACCCAACGGCAGAGGATTGCCGTTGCGCCTCTCACATGTGGAGCAACTCATTTAATCCGCCTTATGCTACTGCAGCTTTTGGACATTCGTGTCACATGCTGAATTCGATTGGTCTTAAGTGATTGGAGGCACAAGTTTCGACGGGTTATCTGTGCGGACCTGGTTGTTTTCCTAAATCAGATAAGCTTAGTTCTTAGTGACTGGGTCTGCCCCAGAAATGAATTCCAGTCGCCAACGTTGGAGTCCCAAGAAATTCAGCCTTGGCAGTCTAACTTTCAGCTTTCTTTCACGGCGAGTTCCGAAAGAGCTGTTTCTTTCTCGTAACCCGACAAACCTAAAATCAAGAAATGCCGTAATTTTAAGCGACTCTTCGGCGAATAAGATTGTCATACTATTGACTGCCGGCGAGCAGTCAAGCTTTAGGGTAACGAGGACAATAACCTAACAGGTCGCAGAATTCTTCCATGACTGGCATTCTTGGCCAAATTAACAAATGACTTCTGGAAAGAACTAGTCCACATTATTATACTGTCACTTGAACTGATTCCATTTCTTTTGTTGCTTATATCAAACATCCTTTGGCTGCGAAGCATTGTCACGTCTTTTTGATCATGTTGAGCCTTGGATTAGTTCCCATCAACAAACTTGACCCCGACGCTGATTGAGTAGACGTCTCCGTGTTCCACCAATATCTAAAAGTCAATGCAAATAGGTACATCCATTTTTATACGGAGACATCAAGGCTGCCTGTGTAACCCTCCAGCCTTTTCTGTATCTTGGCTGAATAAGCATGTCAGCCCTATGCGGGGTTTTTCTGCTTCAACAGCTCATCCTTGCATCAGATGTCAAGCTCCGGCGATCATGATACCCGGATTCTGAGGGACGAAAAAAACGGACCTGCGCCTTATTGCCCTGAAGATGGCACCAATCCACCCGGAGTCGGGGGCGGGCGAGTCTAGAGCAGAGTTGGCTGCAGGCTTGTTGCTGACAACTAGCAGGGCAGTTCTATGATATGTCGCCCCCAAAACGATTAGGTAATTCCAAACCTTAGTCTACCCTTCACTTGCTAAATACTAACGCGATTGATATAGGGCGAGGAAGACATGCAATCGTCTTCGAGTGTCGTGATCCAAGCGGTCGCATCTACGCTATGAAGCTATTCAAGCAAGATAGCAGAGATAGGATCCGTCGCGAACTCGAGATATTCCAATATCTCGACAATGGCCCCAACATCATCAACTTCATCGATGCCGTCCAAGGTGAGGAGGTTCGCATATCCTTCAAGGCCCCAGTCCTGAATCGGCGTTAAACTTATGAGGTATAGGGATCCGACATCGGCATCGTTCTCGAATACGTAGACAATACAGATTTCCGAACGCTGTATCCTCGTTTCAATGACATGGACATTCGATATTACACCCGCGAGCTTCTGAGAGCTTTGGACTTCGCCCACAGCCAAGGTATCATGCACCGTGATGTCAGACCGCACAACGTGGTGATTGATCACGAAAATAGAAAAGTTCGACTCCGAATAACATGATCTAATGCATACTGACGAATTATAGCTCCGACTGATAGGCTGGAGCTCAGCAGACTTCTACCGACCCGACGAAGATTTGGACACCTGCGTAGGCCTCTGGAAGCCACCGGAGCTTCTCCTCAGCTACGAACGATACGACTTCAGCATAGACATGTGGTGCTTCGGTGCTATGTTCGCAGCCATGATCTTCAGAAAAGAGCCTTTCTTTCACGGGGTTTCGCTAATTGATCAACTGAGGAAAATCGCTGAAGTCCTTGGCACAGACAAACTCTACCGCTTTGTCAATGAATACGACCTTGAGTTGAATGGCGAGGAACTTGAAGCTCTGGGCCAACATCATGAACAAGCTTGGACCGACTTCATCAACTCGGATAATGAGATGCTCGTATCTGATGAAGCCCTGAGTCTTATTGACCAGCTTCTACGATTTGACCCGAAGGCGAGTATGGTCCTGTGGCATTATGTGATGGTTTGTACTAATGTATGTGCCTAGGAGCGACTTACGACTGCTGAGGCTCTTAGGCACCCATATTATGAGATGTTGCTTTCAGAATCACGAGCAGATCAAATGAGTAGGTGGGCTTAGAGAAGGATAGGAAGACTGGAGCCATCTAATGTAAAAGGGATCCCCTTTATCTAACAGGCCGCAAGAGACCTGTCTAACAGCGCAGGCCCAATTCCTGGAGGCCATGAATTATCTACCATGCATTACTTCACGATAGTATTTGTACTTACTCCGATCCCTTGGATTGTCTCAAGGGGAATGGGACTCCATCTCGCTTAATGACCCCGTTTTACAAAAATCCACTCACGAACAAAAACTGCCAAAAAAGCGTGCGTCATCCGGAATTCGAATCCGAGCCTCAACTTTTCTCAATGGAAGAGTTGAATCCTAACCCCTAGACCAATGACGCTTTGAGTGGTGCTTCGATGAAAACAGCCTGTCGCTAACGTGCGCCATTAGGATGACCTAGCCTGGCAGCAAGTCGACAACGCCTCAATGTGGCCTGTAGTGTATAGATGAAGAGCCTTATACCATCGCGACAGGACATATCTCCGAGTCTTTTGAAACGTAACCCGCAGGCTTGCAGGTAGGTTTCTTCTCCAAACTGCACTGTATCAAGAGTCCTGGTGTAAATGATCCTCGGCCCGAACTTGGCAAAATCTCAGAAGTTGCATGCAAGTTGCGGAGCTTAGAAAGAAGAAGATTTTGGTTTAATTGTCGTGTCTCAAGGATGTGAGGGCTATTGGTGGGGGAAAGCCATGTCAAGGGATGATCCAGGACATGATTCTCGATGGCACGGCCGTCAGCCGTTGGGGACGCTGCTTGAACGTCTATTGCATCTTCAAAACGAAAAACAAATTGGATTTCTATCTTGTTCAAGTGAACTTGAAGACTATGAAGTCGGTCTACGGTATCGGATGCTGCACCTGCCACACGACGCAGAGTCTCAATGTCATGGGGTCGCAACATGCTCCAGTGATATGTATCTCGGAATTTGCGGTTATGCCAATACGGGTAGGTAGACCAAGTCAGTCTAGGCACCAAGGGAAGGGCGAGAACGTAAAAATTATTTCATATTCATAGCGTATTGTAATTGGAGCAGAGAAATGTAATTGTCTTGGTCATGCGTCATGAATTGACCCCTTATCTTTGACTGCCTCTTCATCTGCAGATGGGCTACTTCCTCCAACAGTCAAATCTGGACAACTAGAAAAGATGATGCTATTCAGTACAAATAACCTAAATCCATCAATTTATTCCCATGCTGAGTGGTCAGAGAGGGTGCGGATGCTCGCACCGGGCAGGGAGCTTCAACGGCATCGGATTCAGAAGAGCCGCGGCCGCGCATTCCTTATCGCAATGGTGCTGATATTTCTGACCTTCAACTGTAGGAACCTGGTATGTTAACCTGCCATCGAACGACGCAGGGAAGCTAACGGATTTTCGCATACAGGACATCAAGAATGCATCCAACCCTTCCCATTTACTAGCATCTTCACACCGAATCTCTAGGCTTCACTACCTCGTCCCCGCAAATGTCCCCAACCGCCAAGTATGCGCAGTTGTGACATCGGCACTCGCCAATCGATACTCTATACCGACGATTCTAGGCTACAGAGGAGAGACCTTCTTATACGCGCAAAAGGCACATGTCGCGAAATTGCGCGCCATCAAGGATTATCTGCACAATGCGGGAGGAGCCTCTGATGATCTTGTCATTCTTGTTGACGGATTCGATGTGCTGGCTCAACTGCCCGCAGAGTCCATGATACAGCGATACTTCACTCTCATGGCTGAGGCTGATCAAAGGCTTGCTGATCAACGTGGAATTACCGTCAAGGAGCTTCATCGAACCGGGCTAAGGCAGACTCTTTTATGGGGAACGGATAAGGGATGCTGGCCCGAGAGCGAAACGGATCCGAGGTGTTGGCTTGTTCCATTCTCAGCACAGCCTCGATTTACTCGGGGACCCAAAACGGACCCTGGGGATCTTCAGTATAGCGAACCGAGATTTTTAAACTCGGGTACAGTTATAGGCCCATTGGGTGACCTTCGCAAGTTCATCGACGCCGGGCTATCATTGATAGAAGACGATTGGGATCAAAACTTCCTCTTCAGAGACTCTGATCAGTTTTATATCGCGGCTTTGTATGCTCGTCAAGAATATCAGAGAATGCGAGAATTGAACGCGGGCGAGTTTCCTGAAGATATAGCGGGAAGGGATGTACCCAGACCGAAGGATGGCAAGGATGATGTGACTGAATACCACGTTGCAGTGGACTTTGACTATACGTTTACGCAAACAGAATGCCATAACTACAGGTTGCTTCCCTGACGGCGTATTTGTTACTGCTGACTGACGCAAGCAGATTTATCCATAAACTTCAGTACGATAACTTTGACATGACGGCAACTATTGGGCATGATGCGCTGGAAGAAGGGTCAAGATTCCGTCCATACAAGATTCAAATGCCTGCATCGATCTACCAGGCATTTCACAGAGTGTATGATTCACTTCCCGCAGAAGACCGGCCAGCAATGTCAGAACACAACTGGATACGCAGTCTTCGACTTGGCACAAACATCGGTACACGAGTGATCTTTGCCTTCTATCACAACACATGTGACAAAGCCGGGTTCCTCGATACCTTCCACGGTGGCTGGTTCTACCCTCTGATCCGACCTCTTCTCCGAGTTGCAGTCAGAGCAATTCAGCACCATCATCCAATCAGCCCAGAACCTATTGATGGACGACTTTGGTTTGCTGCACGGCAATACCCGAAACGTAATCTCGATGAGTACGGAGGGGTCTTTACAGATGCGCCAGGGGAGGAGTTTATACCACTGCAGGAATTCTGCGGTGAGGATATCGAGTCTGCTATTGGAAAGGATACGGATTACCCATTGACCAGACTCTGATAGATTAGGCTTGATGAATGAATTTGGATGATGAACGAGCGTATTGTTTTCATAGCCAGCCTATTATTACAAGCGGAGTACACGAACTAAATGATCTTCAATGCCTCTAAATTTGAAACTCAAGGCAAGTTGTACAAAACTCGTTTCATGAATACTCACTCGATCTGCCCATCAACCCAATTGGTGTCGATATCGACATCATCACCATCCAGGCTTTCCTTTCCACTCTTGACGAGTTCAGTCCACATGGTAGCCTGTAACCTTTCGGCAAATACGTCTTCACCTGGGACACTGTAATCAACATCTCGGCCGCGGTGGATCATAGCCATGAATCCCTTCTTGGCAAGTTGCGCAAGTGAAGTATCGGCGTGACGGCTGAGCTTCTGGAAGCGACGTCTCCAAATCAACCACCGCGCCATGCTGAATCCGACATTATTAACGCATTGATCCTGCGGAAGGGTCCCAAGATTCAGTGACGACTGTCCTGACTGCTGTTCGTCTCCTTTGAGAACGCAGCCCTTGAGGAGCGCGTAAGGACATAGTTCCATCCATAGAACTGCGCCAGGTAGAAACTTGGCAATATTGTCATCGTTGGCCTCAAGGACCTCGCGCATATACCATAGCCCAGTCGAGGAGATCTATTCCTCGCATATACCAGCAGCCAAGACCTTGGCAGAAAAAGTAGCAAGGCTTTGTAGCTCAGCCTCTGAACCTTCTTTCATCAGCGCTTCCCAGAATGTCTGTAGACTCTGTGCAAAACCATAAGATTCCCAATTCCCTGCCATATTCTGCCCCGTGTAGAGATCTTTGTACACAAGATCAAAATGTCTTGTCCACAATAGTAGAAGGACAAGACGATCTTGGAACAAGCTGTCACTGTCTATAGCGATGCTGGCTTTGAAGAACATATGCCACAAGGCGTCAAGATTCTGCTGTACGGTGAGGAAGTCTGCCATAGGTCTTTTGAGTGGCTCTTTGATAAAGTGAAAAGCAAAGCTCTTGATAGATATGAGAAGATCTTGCTTCTCTTTGTCACTTGCTATGTCTTGAAGGTCTTCTGCAAAGCCTTTCAAAACTTCATGTCTGAAGCGTTCGTCGTGGCTGACGTTGTGATCGGTTTGAGATGAGGCCATAATGAATTATTGGAAAGAAGCCAACTTGTCAATTCTGATATGCGAAAATGCGATATGTGTACCATGTGAATAGATTTACGATGGGGATGGAATGACAACTGAGATGCCTTTTATATGGCCAAGTATTTAGTACTGCCTGAGGCGACAACTCTAGGCAACAGTCGGAAGGGATCTTCTTGTAATGAAATATATTGAGACCATTTGGTAATATCTTTAAAACTTTTTTGCGGTCAATATTCTGAAATTAAAACTTACTTCGCATGGTTGGCGTTGAAATGGTGGGGTTTGGACATCGTGGGTAAGATGTGGTGATTGGTCACTCTATACGCGATTTGGAGACAGATACGCTAAGATAAAGAGATGAGAGCCAGAAATAGAAGCATTATGATTTCATGAATTGGATAAGCTATCTTGTTTGAGGACTGTTTGCGGTCAAGTAGGCTAGTTTGGTATCGAATAATTGTGCTGCTCTGGCGAATGAATCAAGATACGTTTGAAGCCCCGTCGAGAATTTCTTGTCGCTTAACAAGTCGACATGAGTTCAGCCTTGTTAGGAGGGTAGGGATTCATCAGGACTGTTTGCCTATTGCCTGGGAGAAACGGTTTCCCCGGGCTATGCTTTCTCTAGCCACTCACGGCCATAATAGCACTGTATGTCACGGAGTGGCCTTGGTCTCCATTTCCGATGATTTACATCGCAATCGGAGTCATTAACCTGCTCAGAATAACGCTGGACGCGGTCGTAAAAATCAAGGAAAGACTGAACTGGCGCCGGTGTGTAGCCCTGTGCAGGCAGACCCCGGAAGAACTCTGTGTCATCCGTGGCTGGATTTTTTGACTTGACGGGAAAGTAAAGGTGTCTGATAGACTCGAAAAAAGAAAAGAGGAGCAATGTTGCCTGTTGAACCGTGAAATGTAGGCGTGCGGTTGCGAAAGCTGTCGCAAGATGATCCCTACTTGGGTAGCCTCTGCGAAGCCGAACGGCAACGTGCTGAAACGAGGAAAGCACCTTCCTGCTCGAGCTGAAGGCTTGCCGAGCCACCTGCGTTAAGACTGGAGTAGTAAAAAGTCGCCTATCGTCGTGCTCATGAAAGATTCCATTGATCTTCTCGATGCACAAAATGTCGTATGCGATATTGCATCTTATTCTTGAGTAACCATCTTTTCGCCTAACTGAATTCAAGAGGATGATACTTTGTGGGTATCTCAAGAGATAGACTTTGCGAGCAGCCCAACAAGCCAAGCTCAGTCTGTGCGACTCCCTGAATTTGTCCGTTTCGCGTCCCCGAAGGATGAAGCTTCCGCCAGTTATACACATATTAGGCCTGGGCAGATTGGAACCACCATCATAGCCGAGTGCCATGTAGAGGTGAATATTGATAAACCTTGAAGTTGCATCAAAGGCCGATTCCCAGATCATAAATTGAAGCTCCGCTGGCAACTGAGAAAATAGACGGAATGAGGACAAGTCTGATAAAGACTCGACTTTCGGCTCGGGATCGCTAGTTGGATGTTCATGCATCGCTGAAAAAAGGAAAAGTAAGATGATAATCCAAGATCACGTCTAAATTTTGAAGATAGATGGGTTTTTATAATCGTAAAACTTATTAAACTTTGTCCGTGAATTTAAGCTCTTGTTGAAGTTGGACCGGCTTACTGAAGCTTAATCGTTATTGTATCCTGGTTTTGTGTACTGATTATTGATTGATAGTTAAAGCTTATGACATCTCAACAAACCAACTTGTGTACTGATCATAAGAAGGTTTTCTTTGGTAATAGGCTCTCAGTCACGAGTCTCAACAGAGAATAAAACGTTTGGCTCACATTTAACTATTATGCCTTGCCAATTACTAAAGCTACACAGCAAACCTACAAAAATTTCAAGTCATAAAAGATTTCACATTGATAGTATAAGTAAAGAAAGAAAAAGACAGCCCTTTTTCCATGATAAAAGCTTCTCATCACGAGCGCAATTCCTCAGCTCCTAGCCTTCGTACTGGGGGGTTCCCAGCGAATGATAGATCTTTGTGAAAACCTTATCTAAGTGTCAATATTGACGCTAACGAGGTCGTTGACGATGAAAGTAAGGGTAGCAAGAACTGATATATCTGCGCATATTGCTTTCCAAAAGGTGAAGTTAATTGGAACTTTTCAGGTGTTGCCTTGATGTGTCTCGTTGAGATGTCGCAAGGTTTACCTATCAATGAACAGATATACGCCAGTCTTTCTGGACACACCAAAGCCTCCAGAGTCAGACAGACTCCTGGACGCTGAATTGAAAGGCATGATAATATGTGTTGGAGGTATGAAGCTGAGGGTGAACTGACGAGTAAGGATAGGATGCCTTCTTGAGTGTCTAAGTATGTTGTTTAAACGTGTTTAAAAGGACCTTATTGGTGATAGAAGTTCATTGCGTGTTGCAAGTGGCCTAGACTGCCAGTCAATATATCATCGCCACCAATATCAAAATCTCGGAAACATGTCTTTCGCCAACTAATGTCGCTCTAGAAACAAAACTCCACAAGCTATCGAAATAGAAGAAAACATAGACACATGATAGACAGGCCAGCCCTGTCTACCAGTACGTCTCTCATGAAGTGAATGCCTGGATCGCCTCTTCCAGAATCCCGACAATCTCATCGGGTTTACTCAACATCGGCAAATGCGCACTATCAATAATCCTTTTCGTGACATCCGCACCAAGCTTTTCCGCGCCTCGGACAAGCATCTTCTGGGCTTCATAAGGGTAGGCCCTATCGTCCTTGGTCATGACCTGCCAGACAGGCACGTCCCTCCATCCTTCGTATATCGCTTCATACCCTTCCGTCGAACCGGTCAAAGCCTGCTTGCTGAGCTTTCCAACCCAGTACTCGGCCTCTTCTGTCGGGAGATCGTGGTACATCATGTCGATTGGGTCGACTTTGATGACCATCAGATTGTTCTCGTAGTCAGCTTCGCAAGTCGGTAGGGGCTTGCCACCGAGGGCGTCGAGAAAACTCGCGCCTTCGCGGACGAAACCGGTCGCAACATTGAAAAGCCCTATCACGCGACCAGTGTTTCCGTCTGTGTCGGCAGATTTGTTGGTGAAGCCTCTCATGGCACTTTGTCCCACCGGTCCAGCATAGGAGTGCACTAAGACAACGACATCAAGTCCTTGCGACACCTCGCCAGCGATGGCATCGGCGACAGCTTTAACGTCATGGGAGTAATTAACGTCGGTGCTTGTTGATTGGTTTGTCGGAAGTGCGACGGGAATACACTTGAACTCCTTAGCCTCCATGGCGGACATGATCTTGCCCCAACATTCAGGACTATGCCACGCACCAGGCACAAATATGAGGCTAGGTTTCTGGGCCATGTTTTAGATTGATTGGACGATATTGGCTCGGGATTCAGTGAGGGAGGGGAATAAGGGAGTGAGGATGTGTAGTCGGCTTACGATCTGTTTCCAAATCGTGGCTGGATAAAGACAGCGGGGTTTGTCGTTCAGCTCGTTTATTCTCCTCGAAAAGGGTTAGTTGCTGACAGGCTGGACGCCATTCATGTCCACTCAAAAGTGACTCTGTGGTTGGTAGTGGAGACTCCAGGGCGTTGCCAAGATGTTAGTTATCTATCATCTCTCCGCATGTCTCCTCGGGAGGAGATGTTAGCGCTATAGCGTTTGCCAGTCTAGGCTATTGTAACCAAATCGCTCATCCTGTAGCCGCAGTCCTCAAATCCCGTGAGTGGCTTCCCGATACCTCGTCAACGCCTGTGTTTGAAGCAAAACTCCTCCCTCATTTCACTGAAAGTCACAGCTCATCAGCCCATCGCCGATCATCTTCCCTGAAGCTTTCCTCAGAACAAGCTTGAGCCGGTCAGCATGAGTACGACGACAAGGACTCGGAGGCCCCACACTAGGAGTAAAACGGGGTGTTTGACGTGTCGAAAGCGTCGCGTGCGTTGTGATGGCGGAAAACCAACCTGGTAAGTCGGAGTTTGCTACCCAGTTGAAACAAATAGTCGAAAGTACTATGCAAGACGTTTGTCAATTTGTAGCGATTGTGCAACTGACAAATGCAGTACCCGATGTGTCAGTGCAGGGCGGATATGCGAGTTTTCTGATCCTAGTATCCCACTTCGAGACCGTAAGGCTATCTGTCTTCCTGGCGAACAGCAACCTTGGATTATAAGCCAGGACGCACCGCCAGTAACTCTAATCGTTAATTCCCCCTTTGGAAAGTCAGTGGAGCCTTTCGACTGTTTAGGCTTGGACATGACTCTCCGCTCAAGAGAGCTACTTCACTACTGTAAGCACAAGCCATGCAGCATAGACCAGCAACATTGTTGACAATCCAAGTCCATAACAGCCACGATAGTGCCGATTTGGTACTTAGTAAAGCCTCTAGAAACATGTACGTACTTTTCATACTTCACTCAGCCCATGCTTACCTTGGGCATATGCAGCTTTTCTTCTGTCGCCCAGCATCCCGATGCGCTAAGGGACACTCTTCTCGTTGCAGGCCTGCACTATGCATGGACTGTCGGTGATCTCGAGACTTATAAACCAACATTTCTGTTCCACAAAGTCTCAACAATACAGGTCTTGAATCGATGGCTGCAGAATATACATCAGCCCGGGTTGATGACCTTCATTCGACATGTCTCAATTCTTTGCTTTATAGAGGTTCGCTTCCCCTACTGATGGCGCCTTGCCAATCGCTGACCATCAAAAGGCAGCTTACGGGAACGTACATGACACAGAGGCTCACATCAACGGCCTCGTAAACGCCGTCCACCTTCTGAGCCCCCTCGATGACGACTTCGGCCATCGATCAGAAATCGAGGAAGAGCTTGCTAATCGCTATCTCCTGCTGTGGGTAGTTTTTGCCGTTGGTACTTTCATCAATACTGACCTTTCCAGCACATATTATGCCTATCAAGGGTTCAAAGCCAGAATATTAGGAAGCGATTCTTTGCAAAACCTGTTCCGACAAAACAACACTGCCGAGTTCTCCACGTTCGTATCACAGATTTACCTCTGGAAGACGCAAAACATCGGCCATCTCGAAATGCGTCTCAACGCCATGAAACTTTTACCCTTCTTTTTCGCAGCTCTTCCCTCGACAACGCAATTCCACAGTATCGACGCGTCGCCTCTGATAGACTGCCTGAAGCATGTTACTACATCAACTCAGACAGTCAGAGAGGACCGTTACAAATGTGATCCCAGCTGGGAATGGATTGAGGGCTCGGATTCTCGACTGCTTTGCGCTACTATCGGCTCCCATTTCTCGTCGCTTTTCCACGACGATATGTTCTCGTCAGCACAATCCTCAAAGTACAGTACTTCTTGGTCTGGTATGTGCGCTGCATCGAGCTTGTACATGCACAGCGTCCTGGAACTCTGGAACGGCGGGGAGTCTATCGACGCTCGTCTCTTTCGAAGGTTCTTATGTATTCTGAATCGAGATCTCAGTCAGTCGGTTAGTACCCTGGGACTAAACGACTCTACGGACTTTTGGCTCTGGCGAGCGTTCCTGGGAGCGTATAGCATTGTCAAAGAGCAAGCGAAAGCGCATGACCCATTGCTGGATGGCCTTCAGGGAGCTTTTACTGGCTATTTAGATGCTTGGAAAAGTGTTGTTGGGTTATCAGTTTGGGAAGAAGCGCATGCCTGTTTGGTGTCAGTCGCATGGCCTGCCTCTATGAATTATGAAACAGGGCGCAGTGTTTGGGCGAGTTCAATCGAGTATACAACAAGTCAGGGACAAAGCTGAAGCTGTTCCCAAGCTGTACAGTATTGTATAATAAATCACAACTCAAATTCTGCTGGGACGAAACGAGTCGCCATGTAACTAACTTGAGTTCGACTAAGTCGGCCAGTTCTACTTCGATCGCGTGTGGAAAAACAAGGACAGTTGATTATATTTTTACGTTATTCTCACTACAGGAGTTCACATCAATTTTCCGCCATCGCGAATTCATCACGCAGGGTAGGGCCAGGCTGATAAGCCAATCATTTGGTTCCGGAAAAGAGACCACGACAAAAAAGCTGCTGGTTGGCTCGGAGCATTTGCTCCACGATGCGACACACAGACAGGCAACAGGGTTTGACTTCCAGGGCCCCCCGCCGTTGGTTCAAGTTTCAACAACAGTTGTCGCTTTTCGAGGGCCAAAAAGAAAAAAAGAGAGAGAAAAAAAGGAAGAAATCGAAAGTCAGGATATTTAAGATTAGAAGGAATTCCGAGTCATAAGGCGGCTTCTATTTCTGCATCGTTTATTGCTTATCATGTGCGTGAAGCATGCATGAAGGAAGCTAAATGGAGACAATCATCAACCCCTCGATCCACCGCAAAATGGCACTATTCTCGTCCCACGCGAATGCACATCACAACACATCAAGCGCCCGAGTACCTAGTGCAAAAGTTCTCCATGGGGATAACCCAAGGGGCATTTACGAATTCCTTCAATATGTAACGGATTGTGACAAGAATGATACAGGAATCCCATCATACGACACCAAGAACACACAAGAACACTGTCACAAAACCCTAAACCGTTAGGGCCAGCTCGCTCCGAATAAGCAGTCAGGGTAACCCGCATCTCTAAGCCTTTTAAGGTAAATGCTCCGTCAGGGTTCTCGGGAAGCTGTGCGTTGCAGATTACATCATAGCAACGTCAGTTTTCCGATCGCTGGAGAGATTATATAGAAATCCACGATGCCTGCAAAAAGGGCTTCCCCTCGAGATCGAAACTCCAACAAAGCCTCCCCCTGGGGCCGTAAAGGCGGTGCAACCGATTAAAAAACCACAATGTCCTGCTCTCTGGTAAGCCCTCTCATTTCCGTAATAATTCTCGCGACCGAGCAGGACGTGGGTAATTTCCATGTTCTGCGCAAAATGTCTTTGCTCACGTGACCCAGGATTTTCAATTCGATCCCGAGCGTTTCGGCCGGCCGCTTTGCGAAGTTCCCTTATTCCAGACCGCGACGATCCCGCCCACGCTCGCTAAGGATCAGAAGCCTTTCAGGCCAAGCTTTAAGATCATGCCATGCCCATATGCGCGTAGTATTGAAACCGCAGAGCCAGAGCTCTTAGAGCCGCCGCGGAAAAGCAGCAGCTCCAAGCGAAAATACAAGAGTCCCGAGGGTTGGCGGAGTACGCATAAGCACCACTCCACCGCGCGCCGATCACCGTCGCGACAGGCTACTATCTCCTGTCCCTGCGCGCGGGAACACAAAGCACCCAAGGTGCCGGATCATACAAGGTCATGCGAGTTCTGTCATGTAACTGAGACGCCGAAATGGAGGTCTGGACCATTGGGACGTCGTACCCTCTGCAACGTCTGTGGATTGATATATGCTAAGAGGGAGGAAAAGGCCCGGTCGTTCTTATTGGAGAGGGAGTTTGGGTGTGACTCTGTTTCTGACGCATCGTCGAGGTCAGCAAATGTGTCGACTGAGGGTTCTCATTCCTTGGGACTGCGATGACCATTCAAACTCATCACCTCTACTTAATACCATGCCAGGCGGCCCCAAAAGATACCCCACAGCCCCTCACTCTTGGCAGATGCATTGCCATGCATGGACAGGAGAAGAGACATTTCCATTTTTTTATTGCAGCGTTCGAGCGTCATAATCATGAAAGAAATAGATGGCGCATCAGAGATCAGGAAACCAGGCAACATATCAGGAGTATTCGGAGCAAATAACTAAGTTTAAAAAAAAAATACTAAACCTAATTCAGCAATTTTCCCCAGTAATAGCACAAGAGGAGCGTTGCCCAGAAGCTAATTGCATCCAATTGCGAACTGTTTGGCAACCTATTAACAAAGGTCCCTCAACAGCAACCGTGATGTCAAAATCGCATCAGAAAACATAACCAACCACACCCTTCACATTGCCTCCGGAGTCATCCCCCGGTCCTTCGAATGTTCATTTGCTACGGCCCTACAGTAAGACGTCGCATCGTCTGTCCCGTTCGACATTAGATTACCTGACCTTAGTGGATTCCGGAGAGGTGCGTAGTTCAGGGTAACTCTGACATCTGACTTTTTACCCCTCAATTGGCTGATATGAGCTCCTTTCAGCTCAAATGCCGACTCTGGAGTGGGGAGGTCGACACAGTGAGAACAAACCATCTGATCCTCTGCGCAAGCGAGCCACAGCAAAGATTACACTGTACAACACACCAAACAAGTCATCCGCCCGTTTTTGTCCTGTATTTAGTGTGTTGTAGGGGCGAGGAGTAACGCGCCGTGGCTTACGCGTCGGTAACTGAGGGTTGCAACTCTTTGAGACGAAATCATTTCTAATCAGTGTTGCAATGCAAGCAGGCCCTATCTATCAAATGCAGACAGCCACGGCACAGAGGCCAAGCCGCCGTGCGAGGAACTGTGGAAACGGGCTTATTCTCACGCCAGGTTGCTGCGAGGGACAGTAGTACAGTGTCTGAGCGGGTGAGACGTCTCAAAAGGGTTGAGAGGGAAAAAAAGCAAAGGTAAATAGGGGGGTGAACATAGAGGGACTTTTGCTGGGCAGCTGTGATAACTGTGTGACAAACTGTTGGTAAAAGTTGAGATGGAGGGCTGAATGAATTGGGATGTTGATAGACATCGGATTTCCTTTTCCCCGTTGTGAAAATGCTGTCTTGTTGGTGATTGTCAATGGAGTCGGTAGGTTTCCTCCGGATCCGCGGATGGACCCTGAATCAGGGTCTCTGCACAGTCCAGACTCAATCGCGCAGTGATCTACAAGGGTTCCTCTGGGGCAGTCTTCGGTCTAACTTTAGCAAGTGCCTCAGAGGGGGGTATTAGTACCGCCTCGATCCCTAAACTCTCCCTTGAATTTCGAGATCGGATTTCCCCTCTCCTCTCTAACTGTCCGGTTCCTGTTCCACCATGAAACATCGACAGCAGACACTCGCCAAGACGGCAAAGCCAATTCGGCGCCGACGAGATCGCGCTCACCATTCCTGTCCCGTTGAGGAGTCTAGCCTTTTCCCGCCCCGACGATGTTCTTTACTTCCGCTGAGAAAATCGCCTCGACGCGTGAGTTTTCCCTCCGCGTCTTTGTTGACCCGTGGCCGGTAACTCGGACTAACCTCTTCCAGATTCGACCTAGCATCCAGGATGTCCAACGGAATGGTCTACCTCTTTGCGAGGTTGCGTTGTTTCAAAATGCAGCTATTCCGAGTCCCTTGGCTGCGAAGCCAGAGAGAGACACTCACCTCCAATTGAAGGTTGCTTCGCGCACTTCATCTCTCAGATCACCCGCCGCGTCAGCACGTTCAATCCGGTCAAGGTCTACTAGAGCCAGTCTCAAGGACACCTATGAAGCCCGCACGTGGCGTAACAGGCTGAGGCGACATTCGGTATGTCATTCATTTCCACCAGAATGTCTTTTCTTCATTCTAACGAAATAAGAAGAAGTCACCAAGAACACATGAGCCAACCCCGTGCTGCACATCATGCTTCATTAAAGAGACTCCAATGTGGCGCGAAGGCCCTTTCGGGTCTCATACTCTCTGCAACGTCTGCGGTCTTCTCTACGCTAAACGCGAAGCTCGAAGCCGGTCATTTCTTCTTCAAAGAGACATCGCTCGAATGTCGCATTTGTCTTAAATCGTTGAACCGTGTTCATGTTCCCGCCATGCATGAGCATGCGTTCAGCACGGCTTAAACTCTTCTTTCTACGTGTGATGCTTTTTTTTAAATGTTTCGTTTTATTGGGCTTGATCTCGACGTTATACACGCCTCCGGGATCAGTGAGTGATGAGGCATGGTTTCTATACCCCGGCGCAGGATTGGGAAGGCATTTTGTGAGACTCGGCTGGCTACTGAAGTTTTTGGTCAAAATGGCGTTCTCGGTTTTTTGTTATCATGTTGGATTTGGCGCAGATACCTCAGTCACAGTTATGAATTAGAATTGAACTTTTATTCGTACAACATCTACAGTCGACTTGGATCAGATGGATGGCAATCGGAAAACTGCATTCAACTCCGTAAAACAGCAGTGAAATCAGTCCAAGTCTCCATGAACCAACTGATCTGACATTTCTCTGTTCAGGTAAAGAAGTTTCGACGCCTGAGGTTACGCTTTCAACTCCCAAGTAACAGCTTTCGCGAAGTCATGCACCTACAGGGAACAAGAGAGTCAGATGACAGCCCAGACTACCCATTCAGGTAAGCCGAACCAGGCTGTCACTATTTTGCGTAATAACTCCTCATCAGGTGCAGCATGCTTCCTGGTTAAGCTGAATGCATTCGACAGAAATGGAGAAGTCTCTGACCACCCTCTGGCTGCATGGGAGCTCGCAAAACTGTTGGTTGGGGGCTTTGAGGCTAAAAGGTACGAAATTTCCCTCATAACATAAAACGACACCACAACCATGCCGGTCGTAGACAGCCGGATCCAATGTTTCGGTCAACTTGTTAAAAATCGTGCATAGACAAAAACCAATCGTCGAAGGAATATCTACCGCTCTAGTTTCTTTCCTGCTATCTTGAACCCATCACCTTCAGCGTTTCAGTCGCTGAAGCCTTCACACCATCCTGCATCATGGCTTCAACAGGCACAGAAGAGTTGACCATGGAGCAATTATGGGATGAAGCAGCCAAGCGATTTCTGGCTCGTACCGGAAAAGGTCTGAGCCGAAAACCTCCAATGACAATAGACGGCGTGCGAAAACAGATAGAATCGCGAACAGATCAGACGACAGATACTGACGCCTTAAATACGCTGAAACACAGAAAGGACATAGGCCTCAATATTCTTGAATGTCTGAAGCTACTTGGTGGTATAGCTGCACAAGGTGCCAGCGTGGTAACCATGTTTCGACCCGATTGAGCGTTCGACCCGTTGACGACTGAATAGGTTTTCCAACCGGCAAGTGTCGTGTTTAACGCCATGAGCATACTTCTGGAAGCCCCCAAAAAGATACGCGAATTCCATGAAGCAATTGACGAGATCTTTGCCGTTATCGCACCGTCTCTGAGTCAGTTCAGGATCTATGAACGAATCGAGCAGTTCAGGAAAATAGACACCGACTTGACTCGTGCAATTCATATCACCATGATCAGTCTAGTTGATATCTGCGCCTTGGTTATAACACTCAAAGATCCCAATAGCAAATGGAGCAAATTCAAGTCCAACCTCAAGAAGGCATTACTAGACGATGATTCAGGCCTGAGCGTTGAATTGAGGAAGTTTAGACAGGCCATCCATGGCCAACAGTCAATCGAGGCGACTTTGACATTGGAAGTTGCCCTAGAAAGCAGACACGAAGTATCGATTATTCTTGCAAAAGTCTTCGAGACTGGAAAGTGGACCGAAGAGATTGCTAGCAAAATCACCACGTTGCAACAGGCAGAGACCAAGCGAGCACAGGACACGACGAAAAAGGCATACTTGTCTAAGATCAAAGAAAAGCTTGGCATTGAAGAAAAGGAGCTCGAAATAAACAGAGAAATGTTCAAGAGAATATGCGATTCCAGAGTCGAGAATAGCGGGAGCTGGCTTGACGAGGAGGAGGCATATACTTCTTGGGCTGATGCGGATGCAGCCAAAGCGCGACCTCTCCTCCTCCTCCTCGGAGAGAAGAACACCGGGAGGTCCACAACAGTCTCAACGATTGTCCAGAAGCTCAAAGCCAAATACAAAGCGCAGACAGAACGGTCCTCAAGAGTTCTCCTTGCCTGGTATTTCTTCCCCTCACTATCAGATAAAGCTGATAAGGGTGATCCAACGCCAGCCCGGACAGCCCTGAAGCATATTGCTTTACAACTAGCTGAGCAAGACATGGCACTTGCCAAGAGTATAGCTTCCATCTGCGAAGAGAAAGATAATGGTACTTATTTCACAGACGTGAGCTGTGAATCTCTTTGGAAGGACCTAAAGCTGGGACAACCACGTGGAGATACAATCTACTACTTCATATTCGATGGAGTTGAAAAACTATCGAAGATGCATGCCGATGCCGGCACACAATTCTTTGGTGTTATCAAGGAGGCTAGTCAATTACCTTCTACAGAAAGTGATAGGAGTAGGATTCGGCTCCTGGTCAGTGGCAGGGGTGACGCAGTCAAAGTATTGGGGGGTGTCAAATCACCGACAATCAACATAGCGAAATCAAACGGCTCAGACATTGAAACGTATATCAAGAGGGAAATGGGCAAATATGATATCTTTCAAGGCAACGACTCAAAGGACAAAGCCAGCCGGAAGAAAATTAACGATAAACTACTAGAGATGGCGGGCGGGAGTTTCTTCAAAGTCCAGTCGACAATAGATAGAATCAAGGACCTGGTAGATTCAGGTGGACAGGAATCGGAACTCGATGATCTGTTGACAGAGTCGGACTGGGGAAGAGAGGCGATTTCGAAGAATGTCGTTGCAGAGCTTCAAGAGCAACTATCCCCACAGAATATCGATGAGATAAATGAGCTGTTGATCTGGGTGGTCTATGGTTTTGAATGGCTCAGTGTCGATCAACTAGAGGCAGCGCTGGTAAGTTTGCCATCTGACTTTTCTTGCCACATTGGTGCTGACTACCAAGTTCCTTCGGTTTGGGTCAACTCCACTTCAAAAGCTGGCGAAGAAACTACAGGGGAAGTATTCCAGACTTTTTGAAGTCGATGGGCAGGTGATTACCGTACGCCGTGATCTCTTGTCCTTGGTGATCAAGGATCCCAGACAGCTTCGATCCGTCGACGACGATACCCCAAAGATATCAGCTACCATCACCATCACAAAGGGGGACATTACAACAGTGCAGAACTTCCTTTGGACCTTGTTCCAGAAGTCGGTGGTTGAGAAGTTCGAATTTGAGCCGCTAGCTGGACAGGTTACCCAAAAAAGGGGCGAAATCAGGGTGAACGGCTATGACGCACACTTAGCTATAGTGATGCAAGCCATAAGCTTCTTGATAAAGAAGCCAGATGTCAGGACTGAAAGCCTGGGAAGATACTTAGTCTGGAATCTTCCTAAACATTTGGAGGAATTGAAGAATCCGGAACGTGATCACAAGGTCGATAATGGAGCAAAGAAGGATATAGGCAGTATGATTTTCGACATCCTTGGTCAAGGAACCATCATTAGGAGCCATTGGAAACACTTTGTTGATGTGCCTTGGTTCGGCAACGCGGCGCAAATCTCTACATTTCTGACATGGCTACAGGATCCAGATGTTACTGGCCATTTCGGGATATATCAGACGGATTGGCTAGACAAGGTAATCTCAAGCCCGAACCCGCAACGGGCTTTGCTCTTCTCTATGGCCCGTGAAGTGGGCCACAGATGGCTCAAGAGCCGCGAAAATGACCCTTGTGAAGCATATCGGTCTCTCATCCAGTATCTTTCCTTGGTAAGTCTAGAATGATCCCTTATATACGCATGTGCCTGTTATCCCGTGACTAACGCCATTCTAGGAAGTTCCCGAGGGAGTATTAGAAGTGTCTGACGAATCGCTCATGACTTTGGGCGTAGATGAAGAGTCTCTTCTGCTTGATAAAGCAGAGCGATGGTGCAAGATTGTGCTTCAAGTTACGGACGGGCAATCTTTATGGTACGAGAGAGTTGGTGAGACTGCTAGAAAGGTCGATGAGTTCGACTATGCGATTGCGATGTTCTTGAAGGCGATCACAATGCCTGGAGTGTCATGGACGTGTCACAGAGGTCTAGCACAAGCTTACCATCAGGCTGGAAAACTGAAAGAAGCCTGTGAATCACAGAAGAAGGCGTTGGAGATTCTCTACGATATGAAAGGGCCTAATCCTGAAGATATCTGGGTAACGAATATGGATTTAGGGAAATGGCACTTCGAACTCAAGGAGCCGGACCAAGCAACCGCCTTCTACGAAAAGGCTCTAGAAGCTAAGCAAGCTGACGAGGCATATTACCGCATACTTGAAGCAAACCTTACATCGCAGTCTAATGACCGTACATTGGACCTTGTCGAATCCATGAGTCATGAAAGGTCAACGAAGGACGGTATTAGTCGCCTAGGCTCTACACTTCTTCTCATGGCAACGGATGAAGACACTTACGAAAGGTACTTCACAAGTCTTCTCTCGTTGACTGATTCTCGTGATGGGATACTGGGGATGGTTCTGAATGCCATGGATGAAGCTATCCAGCTCGCAGCTAACAAGGAGCTTCTATTCGAGAGAAGCGCCCTTAGGCTTTACAAGGGTCTTGCACTCTATTATTACGGCAATGAAGCTGATAAAAATCTACTCACATCCGCTGTCACGCTTTGGGAGGAGTGCCACTCTGACGCAAAAAAAGTGATTGAAGAGACCGGCACTTACGTCCAGTGGAAATGGATGTGGTTGGGTGGCCAGGTCATCAGCGATATAGTCCGCCATTATTTTAAAGAAGCAACGGCAGCAAATACTGAGGCTTCGGCACTTGAAAAGCTTGGTAAAATCATGACCGGCCACAGAATATCGTACGACGATAACCGGGTATCCCCAGCTGAGTCTTACATAGGAGCCTACGAAACCCTACAAGGAAATTACACTGCAGCAAGAGCGCATTTCCGCAAGAACATGCTAACGGCTCATGAGATGCTATCCGATGATACAGACGAGAATGATGCGGATGCGTATTTCGTCCTGTTCCAGTGTCTACTGCATACTGGAGATGACATCAATGCTCTCATCGCTTTCGAGCTTACAGGTCCGATAGAAAAGACGATAGAAATGAGGCTTGGTGAGATTCGGGGTGAGGATAAAGCCGCCGCAGCGGAACTTCTTGAGTTTGTGAAGGAGAAGTTCTCGAAGAGTGATGCTGCTCCTACCAGGTACACGGCTGTCCTTGACGAGTTGCAACGACGAATTCATCTGGGGAATGGCGAAGATGAGAAGGCCACCACAAGTGAATCCTATCAAAGGATTTATTCGCTCCTGGTTGCGAAACGACCTGCTGCGGGAGATGGCGATGACCCAAGCCACCCACCGTATGAGATCACTTACAGCGACATTGTGATCAACTGGCGATACTTTTGCAACGGGAATTGCGGAGGGACCTGGGATTTCGAGACTGACATCAACATTTGTAAATACTGCTGGGACACTCCATTTTGTCAAAACTGTTTACCGCTACTTCAGCAAGGCACGTCGAAGATGTTGGCTTGTGATGCACGCCATAAGTGGCTCCATGTCCCGCGGTGGAACTTGAGAGAAAGCACAGGGCTGAGGGATGGTACTGTCATAATGGGAGGCGAGATTGTTGATGATCGACGCGTTGGAGGGCAGAGAGTCAAGGTCAAGGAGTGGTTAAGCACAATTTGGAAGGAATGGGATATCGAGTAGCATTGCTCAGTTTGAGTTGTATCCCATTTCCCGAAGACACATTCTTTTGTGCTCCGCTGCAAGGATATACGTAAGGGAAAAACTGAAACCGATCGCTCACAACAAGGATGCGAAGGCGCGATAGTTTAAAAAGTTTATACGATGGAGAAATATCACGGCCCGAAAATGATAAACATCCACTTCGCAAAGCACGCAATTTGAGTTCTCCATGTCGTTTCTATTGATCCCTGATAGGCACCCCACAAGGAAAAGCTTTCATGTGGCTGATATCCCATGACCTTTGGCAGTTAACGCCACGAGATGTTTTGCCTATCGTTACCAAAACTTTGTTGTTTTGAATGTCAACAAACATCACGAGACGTATGTGGCTTTCTCAATTGTTTTGATTGCATCATCATCAAATAGACTTAAAAGCTTGTCTTGGGCAATCCCTTAAGAAGAATTCCTTGTAGAAAAACCCTGGCGACTGGATACTTTTATCAATCGTATCTCCTAGGGGCTCCATCGCCGGCCCGACAACCCACAGGGCCCCATGCGACATTACCAGGACAAACATAGACATTAAGCCCGTGAACACAGACGATTGTCGTGCGCGATTACTCCATTGAGAGACTCGCCAAGAAAAAAAACGTGCTGTAAGACAACTGGGTCGCAATCGGCCTCGTCCGAACGGATCTGCAATACGCCTTTTATAAGATGGCTTCCCAATCTTCTGTTGCTCAAGGGACATCTGCCGATCCATCACAATCCAGCACAGACATGGCTTCCAGTTCGGAAAAGGCCGTCACAGATAATGGCATCCAAGCGACGGACAAGCGAGAGGATGTTGTCTCTGCGGGATCTCTCAAGATTGAGTCCGTGAGCTCAAGGGCCCAGATACTGGGTGCTACACCGGAGGAAATTCTCGAGGCAGAGGAGCATGCGCGCACTATGGACTTGGATGAGGCGAGAAAGGTGCGGAGACTCAATGTTGACCGTTCATATTTACTAACTTCGACTCAGCGCGCCGAAACCCTGATTTACCTTCATGAACACGACCCCAACTTCAGCTCAGAATCCATCATGCGTATTCAGGAATTCCTGAGCAATGAAGATATCTTTGCCAATCCCCAAAAACACGAAGATCTTATCACAGACATCAAAACCGAGATTTCACTTGTCACTATCAACTCACCCTACGCAGAAGTCCGCGCCGTAGTAAGCAACAAGGACGACCCATCGACACCAGCTGGAACGATTCGAGCCTGGACCATTGGTTTGTTCTTCGTGATCGTGCAGAGCTTTGTGAACCAGCTGTTCTCAGTGCGACAGCCGACTATCCGACTTCAAGCCCCGGTCATTCAACTCCTCTCATTTCCACTGGGCAAAGCTTGGGAGAACTGGTTTCCAAAAGGCGAATTCACGATGTTTGGTCAAAAGTTGCAGCTCAATCCTGGAAAGTTCAATCAGAAGGAGCATATGCTGATATCGATCATGGCGAATGTCTCGACGAGTTTGCCTCATTCGCGATACATCATTTTCACCAGTTGGTTGAAGAAGTACTTTGACTTGCCATTTGCCGCCGATTTCGGCTTCCAGATCTGCCTCTCGGTGAGCAAAAGTGCGCGGTGATTCTCAAACAGCTGTACTGACAATAATAGCTGGCGATGAACCTGCTGGGCTTCGGTCTTGCTGGACTGGCGCGACGTTTCCTCGTCTACCCGTCATTCTGTATCTGGCCTCGCTCTCTCGCAACCATCGCCCTCAACCAGAGTTTACACAACGGTAAGCAGAGGCCACATATTTAGTGTGTTCAGGTGACTGACCGTGGAAGAATCTGGAAATGCAAGCGTGCTTGGTCCCTTCAAGAAGATGTACACCATGTCCCGGTACCGCTTCTTTATGCTATCTTTCGCTGCCATGTTCATCTGGTTCTGGTTCCCCGACCTCATAGCTTCAGCTTTGTCTCTATTCAACTGGCTTGCATGGATCTCACCCAACAATTTTACCCTCACAGCTATCACCGGTGTATCTAAAGGCCTTGGTTTCAACCCTCTTCCAACCTTTGACTGGAACGTTGCCACTTACTATATCGATCCTCTGCTGGTCCCTTTCCATGTCACTGTCAACATGTTTCTCGGTGCTTTGTTGGGCGGTATTACCATCATCGGGATGTACTGGAACAACACGTACAACACTGGATACCTCCCCATCAACACAAACACCATGTTCGATCACACTGGCGCCAAGTACAACGTATCTTCTATCTTGGATGATCGCGGTCTGCTAGACGCAGAGAAGTATCAGGCTTACAGCCAGGTCTACATTGCTGCGTCATCCGTCACATACTAGTAAGCTCTTCTCTTTGACTCGCAATTCGCATGTCACTTACAAGAATAGCATTTACTTCTTCGCCGTGTATAGCGCCATTATTTCTTATGCTGCTCTATATCACTGGAACGACATCAAGCTTGGTTTCGTGTCGCTCTGGCAAAGCTTTAAGAAGAATAGCAAGATTAGCGAGTTCAAGGATATTCATACAAAACTGATGGAGCAGTACACAGAGGTTCCAGAGTGGTGGTACCTGATACTCAACGTAAGTTCTTTGGAGAAGCATAGTAGCATTTACTAATGCGATATAGCTCGTTGGAGTTGCTTTCGGCATTGCCTCTGTAGCAGGATGGCCCACCAACACTAGTGTCGGCACCGTCTTCTTCGGTCTTGCTCTTGCTATCCTTTTCACTATTCCTACTGGAATCATTTTTGCCACTACTGGCATCGAGGTTGAGTTTAATGTCCTCGCTGAGTTCATTGGAGGAGCATGGCAGCCTGGAAATGCCTTGGCAGTAAGTAACCGGTCACAAACTCTAATCTTCGCATTTAACATGAGTAGATGAACTTCTTTAAAGGCTTTGGATATGTGACAGTAGCTCACGCCCTCGATTTCGCCAACGATCTGAAGCTCGGCCACTACCTCAAGATTCCTCAGCGCCAGACTTTCTGGTGCCAGACAGTTGCCAGTAAGTAACAATTGAGCACTTCTATGTTCACCTCAACTGACTGTCAATAGCCATTGTCTCGGCGTTTGTTTGCACCGCAGTGATGAACTTCCAGATCCTCAACATACCGGACATCTGCCAGCCTACCCAGAAGGATCGCTTCACATGCCCCGGTGTCGAGTCTTACTTTACTGCCGCTGTGCTCTTTGGCTCTCTCGCACCTCAAAGAGTCTTTGGAGAAGGCGGCCTGTACACCGCTCTCCTCGCTGCATTCCCAGTCGGATTGGCCTTTCCCGTCATCTACTACTACGCGACCCGCAGGCTGCCTAAGACGCACTGGCTTACAAAGCTTCATCCCGTCGTCATCTTTAGTGGTGGCCACATCTGGTCTCCCTATAACCTGGCCTATGTCTGGCCGGCTGTCATTCCGGGATGGATCTCTTGGGTCATCGTCAGAAAGAGATACCTCCAGTTCTGGGGAAAGTACAATTATGTTCTTTCAGCAGCCTGGCAGACTGGAATTGCTCTCGCTGCGGTGGTCATCTTTTTTGCTGTGAGCTACCACGGGGCGTCGATCAATTGGATCGGCAACAGTGCAGACAGTGGTTGTGAAGCCGAGACCTGCACCAGGCTCAAGGTTCCCAATGGAACCTTCTTTGGGCCTCAGCCAGGAACCTTTGCCTAGATATGTTATAGATAATTATATAGCAACAATGGAATAGAAGATGTTATAGTTCTCAAATACGATGAATGAGACCAATAGCTTACGGGCAACATTGAATACGTGGCTGTGCCGCTGATCCTACAACACCATCCTGCCCGTTTTCTAGGCAGAACTCGCTTTAGCGCTTCCGCTGCCTATTTCAACGCCTGGGATTCAGATCCCCAAAACTCAACTCAGTAGTTGTATAAAAATGCCACATTTCCTTTTGCCTTGAACAAGCAAGGTATCTCTGATATAACACCGTATTCTTACAGTTTGCTAAAATGGTTTATCTACCGCCCGACCAACATGGCGATTGCCTCAAATGCTATCTTGTCACTCCATTCACAGATGACGAGCTCAAAGCTTTCAAGTCGGCCTTTGAGCGTGGCGCATACTACAAATCCGCCCCAATGATGCAAATCAAAATTATGCACGCACCGGACGATTATCTAGGCAAATCGCACCAATACATGCGCGCGAAAGAAACCGAAGCTGGCAACACGAATCCATTCATCGTCGTTGACGAAGAAGCCAAGAGCAGACGCGCAGTCTGGTATATTGACCAGTTCGCTGAGGAAGACCAAGTCGAGGATGGAACCGCTGAGAGCACGGATGTTGTTATGAAGATCCTCATCCAGACCGAGTGTTTGGGTATCAACTATATCAACTACGCTATTGCCAATTCGAGCATTGAGGAGGATCTTGATAACTGCTCAGTGGAATTACCCCTCACCAACGACTTTTATCAGCCCGACCCGCAAGATTGCGGTGGTCCAGACTTTGAGTACAAGCAACCCCAGCAAGATGTCTGGGTTATTGCTGAGCCTGGGGAATTCGAGGAGAGCACCGATCCTGAGCTGTTGACTGACTTCTCCCCTCATCCGGATAAGGTGGTTAGGCTGAAAGAGGATGCTGCCGAGTCTGTTGGGCTAGTCGGCTCTTGGACGATTCCAGGTGATGCAAAGCCTATTGATTTGGCTGAAAAAGAGTTTCCCGAGGGGAGTGTTGTTTTACAGCAGAAGTATAAGCCCGGCTTTCCATGGCCAGCGGGTTCATTGTAGGCGGAAGTTAAACCGTCAAGCGGAATGGAGTAGAATACGGGCTTGACTGAGCATCCTTCTCCTCTGATAGGCTTTTGCAACCACCAATAAGATGTAATTACGCGCTTTAGCTCCGCCCTTCGAGTGATGGTAGCTTATCGCAGATATTCTTCCCCACGACGTCGGAACCAAGCATGTCTTGACTGAGATAAGCGGGACAGACAGAGACGATCTTTTCCTAATACGCGCCTTATCATCAGTCATTCTCACTACTGC